CAAGCCACCAGATACTGAGCTGCGGGAGTTATAATGATCGCTGAATATGCGATGATTCAATCTAAAATCTTGATTAACAGCATACAGGAGCCAAGGAAAGAATGCCGGCATCAGATGGATAACAAATGAGTGCAGCTGAGCAGGACCTGCAGCAGTGTGAACATCTAGCACAGCCAAGGATTGGCAGACAAGCTGGCGTGAGTATGGCTCTCCACCCCTTCAGTCTCCGCCCGTATCACCCACCTCCTGAACGACATATCAGGAAGCTGTCATTATAACTCCCGCAGCTCAGTATCTGGTGGCTTGAAGGGAAGAGTGTTAGTTGAAGCCGCAGCCTACAGAATATTGGATACACACCATTACAGGTTACTACGGGATGGAATAGGATTCAATCCTTCCTATTGGATGATAAAGTTTGGAAATCTGGGACTTTTTTTGAACACTGGACTTTTCGTTGGATTTTTTTCTTTCTTTTTGGACAATTTTTTGGGGTTTTTGGTGATTACATATGACACTTTAGGGTTTAATTGTATTATTATTGTATCACAAAAAGGTTATAATATATAAACTGAAACATATTAATAAAAACAAATTCAAATTTCTAAACCACCTATTTACCGCTGTTGTACAGAACATAGCCAAATCTTGGAAAACCCATAACATCAGAATTTACAACGTAAAGGCTACGTTATCATCTTGAATTTTGAATAACTGGCTAAACTGATCGACAAAATGCACCTATATTAAAAAGTTTGGGAACCTCTGGCACTATGTCCTCCCAGGGTTTCAGTAGTTGTCTTTCAATGCTCTAATCTAATCAAATGATTGGTTAGTTCACCACCTTTCCTTTCCCCTAAATGAGCCTACCTACCTACCTACCTACCCCCCCCCCCCAACCATCTTTGCTCTTACTTCTTACCAAAATGGCATATTTTGTACAGTGGAGAATATAATTATTTGATCCCCTGTAGATTTTGTAAGTTTTGCCCACTTACAAAGAAATGAGGGTTTTATAATTTTTATCATAGGTGTATTTTAAATGTTAGAGACAGAATATCAACCAAAAATACAGGAAAAAAAGCACATGATACAAATGTTATAAACTGGGTTGCAGTTCAGTGAGTAAAATAAGTATTTGATCCCCAAGCAAACATGACTTCGTACTTGGTGGAGAAACCCTTGTTGGCAAACACAGAGGTAAGACGTTTCTTGTAGTTGGTTACCAGGTTTGCGCACATCTCAGGAGGGATTTTGGTCCTCTCTTCTTTACAAATCGTCTCTAAATCCTTAAGGTTTTATGGCTGTCACTTGGCAACTTGAAGTTTCAGCTTCCTCCATACATTTTCTATAGGGTTAAGGTCTGGAGACTGGCTAGGCCCCTCCATGGCCTGGAAGTGCTTCTTCTTCTGCCACTCCTTTGTTGCCTTGTCGGCCGGGGCGGACTGACAACTCATGGGGCCCCCCCGGGCAATAGGGGATCATGGGGCCCCTGTGTCCTTGCCCAAACTCAAAAAAGCCTATGAAAAAGGTACCAGGGGCATCTCATGGGGCCCCCTACTGACGCCGGGCCCTCGGGCTTTGCCCAAGTTTCCAAATGGTCAGTCCGCCCCTGTTTGGCAGTATGTTTTGGGTCATTGTCATGTCAGAAGACACCATGCTGGTGCTTTGTTATCACTGAATGCTGACACCTCTGGTTTTGCTATTTACAAACTGTGTATAATTAAAAATGCTGAGCTAGAGAAACAGGAAAAATATTTTTCCCATAACTGCAAGCAAGTGCCAAGGGTATTGATGGAAACAGAGCTTCTGAGTCATTGTGTAGCTATTTGTTTGAACCTCTTCCCACCGGAATAACGCACAGGCATCTACATTGGCAGATGAGTTACTGAACATGCACAATAACTCAAAAAGGTATTAATCAGAACAAAATCCTCCCACCTATTACTGCCAAGGAAACTGCCGTCTTAGCCTTTGTTTGATCAGTTGCCATGGTGCTGCACATGTGATTGGTTATGACACCAACCATTTGATGGCTTGGCAGTTTAAGAGTGCAAGCAACTGTGACAGCTAAATAGAACTGTTTTGGCAATCACTTAAAGTGGTTGTAAAGGCTCAAGGTTTCACCTTCATGCAAAAAATGCATGAAGGTGAAAAACCTTCAGTATGCAGCAGCCCCCAGCCCCCTTAATACTTATCTGAGCCCAGTGATATGCACGAGAGCCTCAGCTCTCCGGAGACTTTCCTCATTGGCTGACACAACAGCAGGACCCGTTGGCTCCCGCTGCTGTCAATCACAGCCATTGAGCCAATTAGGAGTGAGAGGGGGCAGGGCCAAGCCACGGCTCTGTGGACACGCAGAGCAGCAGCTCAGGAGCGAGCCTACTTGGGTGCCCCCATAGCAAGTTGCTTGCTCTGGGGGTACTCAGCAGGAGGGAGGGGCCAGGAGTGCTGTCAAAGAGAAGGATTGGGGCTGCTCTGTGAAAAACCATTACACAGAGCAAATAAGTATAACATGTTTGTTATTTAAATTAATGGGTTTAGTTCTGCTTTATTTATAAGTATCAGGGCTGTGAGTGGGAGGTCCCTGCATAGGTAGTGGCAGGGTTTGTGAGAGGCCAACCCAAAAAATGGGCATGGTGAGTGGTCCCTTCAAATCTAGAGATAGGGTCTGAGCAGGGGCAACCCGTAAAAAGGGTGTGATTTGGGCATGCCCACCCTGTAAGTTGGCAATAACGTGGATTGTGGGCAGAGTTAGTGTCTCAGGGCAGAATTAGTGTCCCAGTGTCCATGACCATAATGTTGGTAAGTATGTAAATTTAGTCTAATCACCATTGTTTCCTCTAAGATCAGCCTTAATTGTCAGTGTTAATCAGGTGCAAGTACTCCCCCCTTCAAGTCACCCTTTGTCTCTGCCCCCTACTCACCTACCGTCCCTTGGTTCCACCACTTACCCACCTCCAAGTGCTGCCTCTTTTAGAGATTACAGAACCAAGTATCATTTTGTGGTGCTACATTTTTATGAAATGTATAACTATAATAAGCACAGCAGTAAAATTAGACCCCCTGCAGCTATAAAAAATAGCCTCCCAGGAACAACATACCCCCTCCCACCAAGGAACCACAAACCCCCCCCCCCCCCCCCCTGCCAGCTACAACAGATCTCCCAGCAGCCAGTATCAATAGACCTTACAGCAGCCAGTAACAGTAAACCTCTCCAGAAAAAATAAATCCCCCCCCCAGAAAAAATAGATCCCCCATCAGCCGGCATCAATAGACCCTCCAACACACCCCAGCACCCCTTGCCATTACATACATTAAGTGCTAGAACTGCATTTCCTGCACCATGCAATCTCGCTGAAAAAAGCCCTGGTGTTATCAAACCACTTTTTCAGTTCTATTGTTTTATGAGTGATGCACTAAAAATCCCAGCATGTCCTACCGAGAACAAGACTTGTTATTTCTCGAACAATCTGGTCTTCAGGTATCAGAATTGAGTGATTCTCTGTCTCCCACCTGCTATGTCCTCCTTACCTCTGTAATCATATCTGATACATATTAATAAGGCTGATTATCCCCCTGCACTGTTCCCATTGCTGATGTCACTCATACGGGATGTATAATCATGTAATCATGTGTTTCAGCTCACTATGCAAACGAGATCTGTGATTGTGCCATGTCAGGACTGTCAGCTTGTTAGCGCAGAAATATATACAGGAGAATATTTCATTACCGAACGGAGATATTATTGTGATGCACACACAATGCAGCATAATCCATTTCTCTTGGGAAAACTTATTTTTTGAAAATTAAATAGTGAAAGAAAATTGTCTTTAAAGGGGGTTACAGTGAAGCAGATTTACCCTTTTAAAGTCCTTCTCTTGACTTCCCCCCAAATGCTTCCTACTCACCATGCTCCCAAAGCCATCATGTGACCCTCCATAGCCATAGTGAAGATCGGAGATCCACTGTTCCAGTCCATGCCCACCAACCAGTCTTGTTACTGCCCTTACATGGTGACGCCATGACACTGTCAATTAAAGACTTCAGGACCTTGCCAATGGGAAGAACTCAGGTCACCAAGGAGTGACATGGGTGGCCCCATGAAGAAGGATCTGTGGTTTCCCACCACAGATCAGCAAGAAGAAGTCTCAGAAGAAGCCTATGAGTGACTGCAGATTTGGTTAAAAATTTGGGGGAATTTGGTAGATTTTGAAAAAACTCTTTATCCAGAAGAAGCCTATGATGGACTGCAATTTTAAAAAAATTGGGGAATTTGTAAATTTGTAAAAAAACTCTTATAAAAACCCTTATGATCAAGTCCAATGACGAAACGCGTCAAGGGAAGTGACGTCAGATGCACAGCGGAACCAGAAGTGACCGAGCGGCCATTTTGGATCCTGGAAAGTCTGATCTAATACACAGGAGGAGTGCTTCAGAGGATCTCCAGAAGTCTGGCTGCTAGGGTTTTGTTTCAATGGCAATTTTAAAGATGAAAATCATGTAAGCATATAAATAAAGTATTATTTAAAGGTTATATGCGGATTTACATTATTACTTATTCCATATATCTGGTGGGCATCGTTTTTGGAGTATGGAGACTGGTGTGTAGAGAGGAGTGTATCTAAGGGGCTGTGAGGATCTCTGTGGTGGAACATATATGACATCATCCTGCCTTGATGATTACAAGCCTTGTGGTTTTTTGTATTTGATAAGGGTATTTAATTACCGTATTTTTCGCTCCATAAGACGCACCTAGGTTATAGAGGCAGAAAACAGGAAAAAAAATTCTGATCTAATGGACTGCAGACATAGTACAGGAGATGACCAGAGACTGCGGACATAGTACAGGAGATGACCAGAGACTGCGGACATAGTACAGGAGATGAACAGAGACTGTGCAGACATAGTAGAGGGATGAACAGAGACTGCGGACATAGTACAGGGATGACCAGAGACTGCGGATATAGTACAGGAGATGACCAAAGACTGCGGACATAGTACAGGAGATGACCAGAGACTGCAGACACAGTACAGGAGATGACCAGAGACTGCGGACAGTACAGGGGATGACCAGAGACTGCGGACACGGTACAGGAGATGACCAAAGACTGCGGATATAGTACAGGAGATGACCAAAGACTGCGGACATAGTAGAGGAGATGAAAAGAGACTGCAGACAGTACAGGAGATGACCAGAGACTGCGGACAGTACAGGAGATGACCAGAGACTGCGAACACAGTACAGGAGATGACCAGAGACTGCGGACACAGTACAGGAGATGACCAGAGACTGCGGACACAGTACAGAGAGATGACCAGAGACTGCGGACACAGTACAGGAGATGACCAGAGACTGCGGACAGTACAGGAGATGACCAGAGACTGCGGACATAGTACAGGAGATGACCAGAGACTGCGGACAGTACAGGAGATGACCAGAGACTGCGGACACAGTACAGGGATGACCAGAGACTGCGGACACAGTACAGGAGATACAGGGATGCGGACAGTACCAGAGACTGCGGACATAGTACAGGAGTGACCAGAGACTGCGGACATAGTACAGGAGACTGCAGAGACTGCGGACAGTACAGGAGATGACCAGAGACTGCGGACAGTACAGGGATGACCAGACTGCGGACAGACAGTACTGACCGAGACAGACAGTACAGGAGATGACCAGAGACTGCAGACAGTACAGGAGATGACCAGAGACTGCGGACACAGTACAGGAGATGACCAGAGACTGCGGACAGTACAAGGGATGACTGCTGACCTTTGGGGAGGGAGGGGGAGCGGGTACATGAATTTGACAGGTACCCGCTCTTACTTCCGCGGAGTTGTTCTTTGATCTTACCTGTTCCTCTATCCAGCCCCGCGCTGTCTTCCGGCTTCTGTAGTGTGGGCGCTCGGCGGACAGCCGGATGCCCAGTGCGCATGAGCGAGAAGCGCTGCGCTTTGTGATTGGTCCGGCGGCTTCTGGGATCTGTCATGTGTCCCAGGTACTGCCTTACCATTCACAAAGAGCACCGCTTCCTGCGCATGCGCACTTGGCACTCGGCTGTCACGCACACTACAGAAGCCGGGAAGACAGCGCGCCGCTGGATAGAGGAACAGGTAAGGTCCCACTGCAGAGCTGAGCGGCCGGCCTGGTATTCTGACATGGCGGTGGTGGAAATACCGGACCGGACGCTCCATATTCGCTCCATAAGACGCACTGACATTTTCCCCCCTTTTTTTGGGGGAAAAAAGTTCGTGTTATGGAGCGAAAAATACGGTATACACTTTAGAAGTGGACACAATTTCTCACAAATATAATTTTTTCACAAGTTTTTCACCGTTTTGCTAGTATATTGTTTTCACGTGATTGTCTCACTGGCATGTGTACACAATTGTCCACTTTTTGACACGATTAGTGATCATGAGTGTTTTTGTGTTTGAATCACATGTGGTTTATTCAAGTTGCTTAGGATAACGCATGTGAGTTTTTTCTCTTTTTTTGAGGTTTTTGTCCCAGCAGTCTTATTGGAGGCTGTTTCTCAACATGGAGGTTTTTCTTTCAACTTATGAATGACTTTTATTTTGAGTGACTTTACTTACATGGAAGGACATTTTCAGATATCAGGATCTGGGTATTTTGTATTGTACTTTTGGCATTGTTTTGGTTTTGTTATAAGCATATTATTTTATTAGATCATTACACTTTTTGGGGTGAAAGTGTTTACATGCGTTGTGGGATTTTGTAGTACATTGTTTAAGGGGATACCGTATATTGATTTACAGTCTTGTTACTGCCCTTACATGGTGACGCCATGACACTGTCAATTAAAGACTTCAGGACCTTGCCAATGGGAAGAACTCAGGTCACCAAGGAGTGACATGGGTGGCCCCATGAAGAAGGGCCGTTTCCCACCACAGACCAGCAAGAAGTCTCAGGAGAAGCCTATGAGTGACTGCAGATTTGCTTAAAAATTTGGGGAATTTTGGTAGATTTAAAAAACAAAAAGCTGTTGATTAGTTTAAGGGTGTAGCATAGTCAAGCCAAGTTCAACATCCAGTGGTAAAACATTGAGGAATTAGGACGTCATGTGTTTCTTTCAATAGCTGGACTACTTGAGGTCCAGAAGAAGTCCAGCTTTTGGACGTAGCAATTGTGTCATCACTGGATGTACAGTATCTTTGCTCCCTTATCCCTTATGTCACGGGTGTCAAACTGGCAGCCCTCCAGCTGTTGCCAAAGTCCCATGAAGCATTGCAAGACTGGCAGTTACAAGCATGACTCTAAAAGGCAGAGGCATGATGGGACTTGCAGTTTCACAACAGCTGGAGGGCCACCAGTTTGACACCCCTGCCTTATGTGATATGGCCAGATGAAAGTCTCACCTTGTAGACTGTTGTGTGGCATCCCTCAGCCTTATTGCTTTGAAGATCTCTGGAGGCACGCGATTTTGAAAAATACCGGAGATGCCAAATACTTGACGCATATAGTAAGCTCATTCCTTATATACATATATACAGTGGGGCAAAAAAGTATTTAGTCACCACCAATTGTGCAAGTTCTGCCACTTAAAAAGATGAGAGAGGCCTGTAATTGGCATCATAGGTAGACCTCAACTATGAGAGACAAAATGAGAAAACAAATCCAGACAATCACATTGGCTGATCTGGAAAGAATTTATTTGCAAATTATGGTGGAAAATAAGTATTTGGTCACCTACAAACAAGCAAGATTTCTGTCTCTCACAGACCTGTACCTTCTTTAAGAGGCCCCTCTGTCCTGCACTCATTACCTGTATCAATGGCACCTGTTTGAACTTGTTATCAGTATAAAAGACACCTGTCCACAACCTCAAACAGTCACACTCCAAACTCCACTATGCTGAAGACCAAAGAGCTGTTGAAGGACACCAGAAACAAAATTGTAGACCTGCACCAGGCTGGGAAAACTGAATCTGCAATAGGCGAGCAGCTTAATAAATAAATAAATAAATTCTTTCCAAATCAGCCAATGTGATTGTCTGGATTTTTTTTTCTCATTTTGTCTCTCATAGTTGAGGTCTACCTATGATGCCAATTACAGGCCTCTCTCACCTTTTTAATTGAGAGAACTTGCACAATTGGTGGCTGACTAAATACTTTTTGCCCCACTGTATGATCTGAAGTGTGGTATGGACAGTCTGCATACAGAATTGTGCCCCCATGTAGACACGCACATTTATTCATTGCAATGGGAGACTGTACCCTGCACCTGTGACTCCCTTATGCCAACTATTTATGCTCCATGCACACTGTACACCATCTCGGGGCCATGTGCATGAAGCTTAAGAATTACACTCACCCACCACTTTATTAGGTACACCTGTTCAATTGGTTGGTAACACAAATTGCTAATCAGCCAATCACATAGCAGCAACTCAATGCATTTAGGCATCTAGACATGGTGAAGATGACTGGCTGAAGTTCAAACTGAGCATCAGAATGGGGAAGAAAGGGGTGTTGAATGGAGGAAAATGCCTTCTTGATGTCAGAGGTCAGAGGAGAAGACTGGTTTGAGATGCTAGAAAGGCAACAGTAACTCATATCAATATTGACCAAAATCTCTGAGGAATGTTTCCAACACCTTGTTGAATCTATGCCACAAAGAATCCAACCTGGTACTAGCAAGGTGTACCTAATAAAGTGGCTGGGGAGTGTCCATATTAGAGATTTGGATGCAGGATTTAAATTAATATTTTTGCAAGTCTTTATATAGCAACTTTACATATTGTACATTCACATCAGTTCAGTCCTCAAGGAGCTTAGAATCTACGGTCCCTATCTCACATGGGCCAGTTTAGACAGGACCCAATGAACCTACCACCATGTCTTCAAGGTGTGGGAGGACACTCATGCAAGGGAGAACATGCCAAATCCATGCAGGTAGTGTCCTGGATTGGGATTCGAACCCAATGCTGAAAGGCAGGAGAGCTGCCTAGAACTGTTACGCAGGGGATAAATGCACTAATAATTCATAAAGTGGCCATATGTGGGGAAACAGATTCTGATTTACAGGGGTGGCTTCTGCCTCAGTAGACATATTGTGGACAACAGTGTCTGTTTTTTACTGGGAGGGAGGGTGTACTATTTATTCTACACGTTTTATATACTGTAGATGTGTGTTTTGGTTTTGAAACTACTAATGCACATATAATTTTTCCTTTTGTACTATAGCCTGAATTTGTGAGGCCATCTGCCCTATATGGGGACTGAGATTACTATTTAAATACTTCAATACTGGGCACTTTCACCCCCTTCCTGCCCAGGCCCATCTTCAGCTTTCAGCGCTGTTTTCACAAAACTGGTGATTTCTTTTGGTGGCATTTAATCACCACTGGGGTTTTTAATTTTTTTTGCCTTATAACCGAAAAAAGACTGAAATTTTTTCTTTGTTTCTGTTATAAAATTTTGCAAATAAATAATCTTTCTACACAAATTTAGGCCAAAATGTATTCTGCTACATTTCTTTGGTGAAAATTACATAAATCAGTGTTTATTTTTTAGTCTGTAGGAAAGTTATAGAAAATATGGGATATATATCTGAAAATCGATCAATTCTGATGTACCGATGGCCGATCTCATTTCTTGAGACCCAAAAATGCCAGGACAGTACAAATACCCCCAAATGACCGCTTTTCAGAAAGTAGACAGTCTGAGGTATTTAATGAGAGGCATGGTGAATTTTTTTAAGTTATTTTTTTTTTGTCATAATTTTGTGGAAAGTGAAGAAATTAAAAAAAAATTATCACAATTTTTTTTTTTTACATACTGTCACCAGTGCAGTACAGCGTCATCATATAACTGGTGTGGCAGTGAACAGGGACACTGACTGGTGACAGTATGTAAAAAAAAAAAAATATATATATATATTTTTTTTTTTAAACATGATGATTGCTTATACCAATGAATTTCACTAGTATAAACAACCATTTTTACTGAATGAAACTGTTTCATTCAGTAGTTACTGTTGTGATCAGCTGTGATTGGCCACAGTTGATCACATGGTACAGATGAGCTGTGATTGTCTGTACCATATGATCACTGTGACCAATCGCAGCTAGCAACACAGTTGTAAGCAAAAAACAGCAGGAAAGGAAGCCATTCATTTTTTGCAACTGTCATGTTGTCTGCTGTGATTGGTAACAGAAATTACATGATACTGGCAGCAGGCTAGTGCAATGATTATTATTATACAGGATTTATACAGCGCCAACACGTTGCTCGGCACTTTACAATATAAAAGGGACAATACAGCAACAATACAGTTCAATACAAGAGGGATAGGAGGGCCCTGCTCCTTGGAGCTTACAATCTAGGAGGGAGGGGCTAGTGGTACAAAAGGTAGTTACTGTGGGGGATGGACTGGTTGGAAGAGTAGAAGATTCCATTATTAGCTGAGGGCAGGAAAGGCTTCCGTCAATGATCAGTCATCGGCTGTGTTTGGTGGACACAGCTGGTGACAGGCTGCACCAGAGCGCGGCCTGTGGGGCGCACGCGATTTGCAATCGTGGGAGGACGCCATATGATGTCCTCCCAATAGGCTGGGTGGAAAGGAGTTCAAGAAAATTTCCAGGTATGGATATTTTTACATAATTACATTTGTCAAGCTTGGTCCAATGCACCTATGTATATACCATACCGATGGGATCCTTCTAGAAGCTGGAAATCACTGTAGTAGACACCGCTACTCCAGTGATCTCCACTATGTTCTGGGTCCTGTGCCGAGCAGGTGCCGCGCTGCATTCAACCGGCAG